TTTATTTTTTGTGTGTAAATTTGAAAATTCAGGAATGTTCGCATTATGGCGTTGTTCATTGGCGTTGATACGTGATCGTGTCGTAACCGTTCTCGTGTTGCTTCCATTTAGTAAAGGATTAATAATCCGAATTTAAAGTGTGGAATCCAAGCGAGCCGACGTATTGGCACTATTGGAGCAGATTTGTACGAGCCGACGTCTACATTATTCAATAGAAAATCTGTACCATCGATCGCTACTGTTTTATTCCCGGACCAAATTTGAAGAGGAGCATGCGGCACTCGATAATACAACAGAAGGATTTTTTGTCGACGCCCTTCCTCCACACGTACACTGTGGGTCGCTACAATATGCATTTTTGCATTTGCATGAATATGTAAAAACGCATAATATCATTGGCGACGCGAACCAGGCGGGCCCGTGCTATCATGAGTTTTTGTAGTATTTCGTGCTGTAATGAGATTACTCGGAAACCCAGTTGTTAGAAACGTGTGACATACTGCTACTCGAAGTCCGGGAAGTTAATTGTCTATGCGGTAGTTGGACACAGAACATTCACTGAAAATTTCAGCCTCCCAGCTCTCCTGGTTCCCGAGTTGCCGATTTTCCCGCCGAAAACTTTCACAGGGCCATACGTGAGAACCACTCACACCGAGAGGCTGAATTGATAACTTTAAATTGTACATGAGCTGGGAACATCCCCTTAAAATTTCAACCTCCCAGCCTCTCTGGCTTCCCATATTAGCGATTTTCGTGTCAGGAACCCTCACGGGCCGTACGCGGGAACCACGCATACCCGAGGGCTGAATTTGGAATCTTTGAGTTCCAGGTGGACAAGGGACATAACACCATAATTTCAGCTTTCTAGCTTCTCTCGTTCCTGAGTTAGTGATTTTCCCGTCGAAACTTTCACCTTCTCGTACGCGGGACCCAGACTTGCATGACAGTTGATGCCGCGCACTTGGCCGGGGGAGCCGTAAGCAAAATTTTGGCGCCGGAGTTTACTTGGGTGCCGGACGGACACACACACAGACATCATAAGCTGCCGCAATATACATTTTTGCAATTTGCAATAAGCAAAAACGCATAAAAAGTAGCTTTTGAATAGCATTTTCACGACGTAAGGCGATTTTTGGGAAGATCGCTTTTTAAAAAAGAGCAGAATCGCTAGTGTTCCTGCTTGGAGCCTTGCGCTTAGCTCAGAACTGATAGCAGCGAATACTTATGATTACAACTTCAGCGTAGCGATAGAATAGAGGCGAAGTGCGACCAGTCGAAGCATTTTTGTGAATTTCTGAGTGAAGTTGGAAGCAGACTAAATGCATCCATCAAAATTTCCTACACCTTTAAATTGCGAAATTTCATAAGCAATGTTGCAAGCTAGGGCTCACAGTTAAATGCCGACCACAGTGACATTTTTTTTCTTGTCTTTTTTTACACCCACAGCTATCAGCCAAAACAAAACGGATAGGGCT